TATCTATAAATATCTGTAATTACTTTAGTAATATAAAATTTAATATAATTAATTTTTTTTTTTGTTGTAAACTAAATATAAATCTGATAACAAATATAATTAAATATTATTGAAAAATTATAAACAAATTTTTAAAAAAATTAATATTAATAATAAATTAATCATAAATTTGTTTATTAATTAGAAAAGTCAACAATTTTAGTTTAACTTTTGTTGTGATGTAAATAAACTAAAATAAAAATAAAATTTTATTAATGATTTAATTAAAAATTTTAATTAATGTATTAAAAAAATTATTTACTAAAATTATAAGTAAATTGATTTATTAGAAACAGTTTCCAACAATTGATACCAATTTTGTTTTTAGCAAATAATTCAATTAAATTCTGTAACTATTGAATAAAACAATAATAAAACAATAAATTAAAAATTTAATTTGTAATAATGTACAGTATTATAATTTAAAATAATTTATAAACTTTTTATATTATCATTTTCTATACTTATTTTAAATTTTTTAACTAATATTTTATTAATATTATTAACTTTAGTGTTAGTAGTATTTAATTTAACAAATAAACCAAATAATAATTTATGTGTTAATTTGCACTCAGTATTGATAGTACTGGCAATCAGTATAATAATTGTCATAAATAGAAAAAATAATAAACCAAAACATATGAACACAGTTTTTAGAAATAATAATAACTTTTTAAATAATAAACTCATAAATATATAGGAAATAATAATTGTAAACATTAGCATAATAGTATAGTATACTAGTCGACCATAAATTGTTTAATACATTGATATCTTTATGTATTTTATTAATTTTTAATTCAATTAGTTTTAATCTATTTATATCTAATGTATCTAATGGCTTATATTTTGCTAATAATCTAGCTAAACGTTGATTTAGCATGCTAATTTTTAATCTAATTAGTTTACATAGTAGTAGAAAATGTAAAACATGATAAAATAGTGATCGATCAACAAATAGATATATCCATGCATTTAATAAACTAATTATTAATCTAATAGTTAGTGAATCTGTATAAACATTATAACTAACTAAAAATATCATCATAAATAAATTGAAATAAATATAACTAATTAGATATTTATCCAAATTAATTATGTATTTAATATGTTTCACTTGATATAAACAATTGATACTATAATTATTAAAATTAATAAATTCAATCATTAAATTGTTGAGTTTAGCTAGATAAAATTGTTGTTGATAATATTGATCTAATTTGATAACAATAGGTACTAGTAGAAATACCAATGCCATAATTTTTAAATAATTAACATGCTCAATTCCGTACATCCAATCGACAATTTGTTGGGCCATTGATTTATTATCATGGACAATTATTATGGATACTATTAAGTGTATTGATAATACGATAGTTAATAAATTATTGATAATTATAACTATTGATAGATATGGTCGGTCCAGTTGATTGAATTGATAATAGTTTGGAAAACCTATTTGATAGCACCGGTAGCCCAGAAAATAGATTAGTTGTTTAATACGTAAAATATTAGTTGATTTAATTGTTGGCATAGTTAGTTAGTGAAAATATTACTGTAGTTTTTATTTTTGAAAATAAAGTAATTTATTTATTTATTTTTATTAACTGTCGAAAAAAATAGTATTACTGTAACAACATATACAGTATAAATATATTAATGTTATTACTAATAAAAATACATAATATAATAATTATAATACATTAACTAATATACAGTATTAACTAATTATATTAATGTATTAATATTAATGTTAATGTATTAATATTAATGTTAATATTAATGTATTATAATTATAGTTTGTTTAATTGAAATATATATTAGAAAATAACAATATATTTATTTTGTTGTCATTAATGCTATTATTATTTTTATTTTATAGTTTTTGTTAAATTTTTATTTAATATAAAGCAATACTAATTATTCTAGTTTTTTTTATATTAATAGATAAAAAAAATTTATAAAGTTATACTATTTATATAATAAATTAAATAAATAAGTTAATTATATTTCAAATATTTTTAGCAATTATTATTAATCAATTAAATATATATATTATTTTAATTACAATTATATAAACAATTTTATATATTGAAAATAGTATATTTATTATAATTATTATTTTATTGTTTATTATTACTAACTAATATTAAGTAATAGCTTTATAGTAATATTTATTTAATTTGTTAGTAATAACTTTAAAAATTTAATTTTACTATCAAATATTTTTAGGTTTTTTTAAAATTAAAATTTAAGAAAATAAATAATAATTTAATTTATATATTAAAAATATTGTTGAATAGTTTGTTGTAATAAATACATATATATTTTATCTACAAATAATTAACTAGAAAAATAACTTATAAATAAAAATTATTTCATTAAAAAAACTAAATAAAATTATTATCAATAATACTAAAATTATTGTTTGATTAGAAATAACTATTAATATTTAATAATTTATTATATAAACTAAACAATTGCTAAAAAAAATATATTAAAAAATATATAAAAATAATTATTGTTGCTAATACTACTTATATATTTTTAAAAATATATAACTAAATAATCAATATAATCTATTGAATATTTTTCTATATATACAGTATATACTGTATATAACAACAAAAAAATTTTTCAGCTAATAAACAAATATTTTTGTTATGCGATTGACTATTAATAATCAATTTGACATTTAATTTAAGTGTTTACTAAATTATTTATATATATTTAAAAAATAAATAGATTAATAACAATAATCAAAATTTATAGGAAAAAAAAACTATTTAAACACTAAACAATTATTATTAATATTAGACATTTAATTATATTTATAACATAATAATAATAATAATAATAAATTGTTATAACTTATTTTTTTAAATTATGAATTATATGCTTATTATTAGCACAATATTACTGTACTTTACAGGTAAGCTTGAAATTATTATTTTTTTATACCAATATATTAATTATTATTAAAAAAAATTATAACAATAATAACAAATTTAATAAATAATATAATTTTATAACAAAAAAATAAATAATATGTATATAAATAATATATATATTAAATAATATATATTAAACAATATATATATATATATATATATATATATATATATATATATATGTTGTTTAATATACATATTATTTATATACATATTATATATATATATACATATTATTTATATACATATTATTTATATACATATTATATATATATACATATTATTTATATACATATTATTTATATACATATTATTTATATACATATTATTTATATACATATATATATATTATTTATATACATATATATATATTATTTATATAAATATTATTTAAATATATATATACTGTATGTATAGTTAATCAATGTATTGATGGTAAACCATGTGGCGATGATTGGACAATGTATGGACAATATAGATGCTTGAAACTATTTACCCAGATACCATTACTATCATATGATTCAGCTGAAACATTTTGCCAGGAACAATCTATCAATAGTAATAATAATAGCCATGATAGTCAATCATCGGGATCATTGGTTGAAATAAAATTTCCCATCGATCAATTAGCAATAGTTAGCATGCTAAGATCATATACTAATCTATCGGATGATATATGGCTGGGTGGTAAATTCCAGCCAGATACTAATAAATATCAATGGATAAGCGATAACAGCCCGGTTGGTTATACAAATTGGCAACAAGGTAGCCCAAAAAATCTACCCGATCATTGTATAGGTATGTCCGTAGAGCCTACAGTTTACGGTCAATGGTCGGATGTTAGGTGCCAGAAAAAGAGCATGGTCATGTGCCAGAAAATACAATCATGGTCAATGGCGGATATGCAGCATCGATTGATGACTATAGAAACTAACCCGGTTCCACTAGGTTTTATTTATGTACAACTACCCAATCAGCAACCGCCCAGTGAAATATGGCCATGGATAGCCTGGCAAGATATATCGCCCGAGTATGCTGGCCTATTTTTTCGTACATTAGGTTCAGGGTCGGAACCGTTTGGTAAGGTACAGTCGGATAATTCACCCAGGTTGGATAGTATAAGCAGCCAACATAGTTATCAAATAGCTTGGGGGTCGATGCCGATAGCCGCTGATGGCCAATGGTCAAAACATATATATACCGGTGACAGTTACGGTAAAAGCGAGTCCTCGCTGGCCTTTCATACTACCGGCGGTGAGGTTAGACCGCGTAATGTGGCCATCAAAATATGGAAACGTTATGTTTGATTGAATTGTTGAAAACAATAACAAAATAATGATGATTACTTTATTATTATTATTTTTTTTTTTAAAAAACAATGTCGACCATAATGTATTTAATACACATTGATATCTTTATTTATTTTATAAATTTTTAATTCAATTAGTTAATGAAAATTTAATTTTTTAAATAATTTTTTTATTAACTATCAGTGAAAATATTATTACTATAACAACATATAAAAATATTTTAATGTTATTTATAATAACAATACATAATTATAATAAAAACAATAATATGATAATTATAATACATTAACTAATAGACAGTAATAACTAATTATATTTATGTATTATAATTATTGTTTGTTTAATTGAAATATATATTAGAAAATAACATAATATTTATTGTGCAATAAAAATTAATTAATTACTTTTATTATCATTATTGCTATTATTATTATTAGTAAATTATAATTTTATATATTTTAGTTAATAAAAAGCAATACTAATTATTTTTTTTGTTTTTTATATAAATAGATAAAACAATTTAAAAACTTATACTAATTTATACTATAAATTAAATAAATAAGTTAATTATATTGAAATATATTTAGCATTTATTATTAAGCAATTATATATATAATATTTTAATTACAATTATATAAACAATTTATAGATTGAAAATAGTATATATTTTTGTAATTAGTATTATTATTTTTAGTTTAAACTAATTACTATTGAGTCTAATATTAACTAAACTACTAATACCGCACAGGTGTACATAAAGTGCCAGTGCTATCATCAAATGAAACAATTGATGCGATTGACCTAAATAGTCGCAACGTCCAGCGCGTACATAGCGCTCAGGTAGTCGACAAACATATATTAGTGAACCCAATGTATACAATGAACCCTGTGTTATAACCAATAGGAACGATACCAGTAGACGACTGTCCATTTGTATTAGCCAGTGAACAATTGGTATCAGATTTGATAGTCCATAGCCCATGAATACGACCGTACGAAACGGTCGGTAGTCTGGTTCGCCAAACTTGTCCCATACAGACAAACCAGTCGATACCGTACACATGCAAATACCAGCTAATATATATGTTAGTTGAGCACCGGGTTGTCCATAGAATATATAGTAGAGGGCGGGTATCATTGAAAAAAGCATTTGTATGGATATACCCATATAGTCTAGTTTCTGGCATAGTTTGCTAACTGGACGGGAATGACAGCATAGTGTATGAAACATTGCCGATAGGGACAGGCATACTATGGCACCCGTATAGTACAGTCCGATCAATAGGTTGTCTACGGGTTGTTGATTCGGATGAACAGTTGTACCGTTGATGGCAAACATCAGGGCAAACCAAAGGGCTGGCAATGCATGTGTCCATATGTTACCGGTTTCGCTGTGCAATCGGAATGCCGACCGTAGACATACCGGTACTGATTTCAGGGCAGGTCTATGTCCAGAGCGCAGGTAGTCGTTGTCCTGTAGCCAATCAGGTAGCTGGTCGTAGTCACACAGTTGATAGTTATGGCTAACCGGTAGTACCGCATCATTATCATCCCGATCCTCTGTGACATTAGTAGTAATAGTCGATGGCTTTAATGAAACGATTGTCATATCTGAAACTACCATCACTTCAACCGTAGACACGTCCAAACACTAGACAACCAGTTGATTGAGGGCACCGTTAGGTCAGTAGTAGTAGTAGTAGTAGTATTATACAGTAGTACTGTATGTATAGTATAGTAGGTTTAAGTGAAGATTACTACTAAAACTATAATTATCAATGAGTTTATAATATTGTTATAAATATTGTTATTTTTTTTTGTTATTAATTATTTTTATAACAAAAATAATAATAATAATATTTTTTGAATTAATTGCTTTTTAAATTGATCACTAAATTTCCAAAAATTAATTAAAACAAAAAGTATTAATTGTTTTTTTTAAATAATTTTTTTGTAATGTATCTATTATTAATAGTATTTACATTATATCAATTTATTATCAAATAAAATATATTTATATATAGATTTTTTAATATTGTACAGTCACAGTTATATTATTAAATAATTTTTTGATGATATATAAATAAGGTATTTATTATATATATATTTAGAAAATAAACAGATTTTAATGTCAAAATAGTATCAATTTGTTTTTAATTATTATTATTATTATTATTAAATATTGTAAATACTATATTAAACATTTTATAACATTTTATTTATACAGTCAACTACTAGAAAAAAAAATAATTTGATTAAAAACATTTGTTAAATATATAATTGATTATCAATCTATCAGTCTATTAATCAATCAATCAATCAATCAATTAAAATAAATAAATAAAAGTAAATTGTTTTAAATTTTAATAAATATAAAAATTATTTAATAATTTTGTGCATGTACTGAAATTAGATTTTAAAAAATATTTTATATTAAATTATATACAATTAAAATAAATTAAATTAAATCCTACAAATACTAATGTCTATTAAAATAATAGAGTAATTATTAAAATAATATATAAATAACAATTATTTAAAAATTATGATTTTTTATAAAAAAAAAATTAAACTAATAAAAAATATTATGATTATAATTGTTTTAACTAAAAATTATTGTTAAAATTATTAAATCTATTAAATTTATTAAAAACTAAATAAATATAGTCTATATAAAATAACAATAATAATTAATAATTAATAATTAATTTTAATTAAAATCTATTTGAATTATTAGTTTTAATTAATCATTTTTTTTTTGGTTTAGCCTAATATTAACTAAACTACTAATACCGCACAGGTGTACATAGACTGCCAGTGCAACCAATAGATGAAACAATTGATGCGATTGACCTAAATAGTCGCACCGGCCTCGAGGCAAATAGCGCTCAGGTAGTCGACAAACATATATTAGTGAACCCAATGTATACAGTGAACCTTGGGCTACAATCAACAGGAACGGTACCAGTTGACGACGACTGTCCATTACTAGCAGCCAATGAACAATTGGTATCAGATTTGATAGTCCATAGCACATGAATACAACCGTACGAAAGGGCCGGTAGTCGGGTTCGCCAAACTTGTCCCATACAGACAAACCAGTTGATAGCGTAAACAATACAATACCCGCTAATATATAGGTCAGCTGAGCACCGGGTTGTCCATAGAATATATAGTAGAGGGCGGGTATCATTGAACATATGATTTGTATAGATATACCCATATAGTCTAATTTCTGGCATAGTTTGCTAACTGGACGGGAATGACAGCATAGTGTATGAAACATTGCCGATAGGGACAGGCATACGATGGCACCCGTATAGTACAGTCCGATCAATAGGTTGTCTATGGGTTGTTGATTCGGATGGACAGTTGTACCGTTGATGGCAAACATCAGGGCAAACCAAACGGCTGACAATGCATGTGTCCATATGTTACCGGTTTCGCTGTGCAATCGGAATGCCGACCGTAGACATACCGTCAGTGACTTTAGGACAGGTCTATGTCCAGAGCGCAGGTAGTCGTTGTCCTGTAGCCAATCGGGTAGTTGACTGTAGTCACACAATTGATAGTTATCGTCCATTGATGTCACTATTATATCCCGTTCCTCAGTAATGATTTTGTTTGAATCTACTGTCTCGTCCATACTGTCCAATAGTAGACAACCAGTTGATTGCGGGCACCGTTGGGTTAGCATTTTTTTCGGCTGTTTATATATATATACTATATAGTAGACAATGTGTTTATTTAAATGACTAACTAATTGTTAATTAAGTGAATTATTTATTTATTTTTCGATTAATTAAAAAATTTATTTTTTAAACAATAATATTTAACAATAAATTTGTTTGTTTTAAACTTAATTATTAAACTACTGTTAATAATATATACTATAAATTATTTATACATAATTAAAATAAAAATTGTTTAACTATTTCAAAAAAAAATAGTTATAACTGTATTTTAATAAAAAAATTAAATAAATTTTTAATAACAAATATGGTATTTTATATTTATAGAAAATACAGATTTTTATGTCTAATATTTATTTTTATTATTATTATTATTTTAATAAATATAGTATTTAAGTATTTATAATATGAAATCATGTTTTTTCAAATTAAAATTGTTATTATTTTATTTTTTTTATTAATACAATTATTTGATAATAATAAATAACTTGATAGTTGTTTAAATAATTTCAATATTATTTTCATAAATGTTGAAAATTTATTTATTTAATAATTTTGTATTATTTTAAATTTAGTCTAAAATAATTGCATATTTTATTAAATTTTAAAAAATAGATGTAATTATTTTATAAATTTAATTTTATATTATATGCATTATAATATTTTAATTAAATATCATAATAGCAAATAAATTTTTTTTTATAAATTATATAACCTGAATAATACTAATTAATTTTATAATAATAAAAAATCAGTTTAATATCTAATTAATTCTAAATTGTTCAATCAAATAACAAATAAATATAATAAAATTATCAACAACAAAAAATTATAAAAAATATTAAAAACAAAATGAATGTAATACGGGTATAGTTCATAAGATCTAAAATCATTTAACCCAAACTTATTTAACCCAAACTTATTTAAATCAAATATTTATTATTTTATCTTTCAAACTATATAATTATATATAAATAATACAAACTTAATAATTGGGAATATTTCTGGTTTTTTAAATATTAAAAAAAAAATAAATATGTAATTAATAAAGTTCTAAATTCTAGTTCTAAATTATTTTATAGATTAATTAGATTATTATTTTATTTATATAATTAATTAAATAAAATTATTAAGTTTTATACTATTTATATATAATTATAGTTTGAAAAAATAAAATAATAAATATTTGGATCAAATAAGTTTGGGTCAAATGAGTTTAGATTTTATGAGTGCGACCGATGTAATACATATATACACACAAAAATTATTATGCAATTAAAATTATAAAAATTTAATTATATAAGAAAAATTAATCACAAAAATTATATTGTTAATTTTTTTATTATTAAAAAAAACAATACAAATAATTCGATTATTATTTTAATTAATTAATTGATTAATTGATTATTATTATGTTAATTGTTTTATTAAAATCAAACATAACGTTTCCATATTTTGATGGCCACATTACGCGGTCTAACCTCACCGCCGGTAGTATGAAAGGCCAGCGATGACTCGCTTTTACCGTAACTGTCGCCGGTATATATATGTTTTGACCATTGGCCATCGGCCGGTATCGGCATCGACCCCCAAGCTATTTCATAACTATGTTGGCTGCTTATACTATCCAATCTGGGTGAATTTTCCGACTGTACCTTACCAAACGGTTCCGATCCTGAGCCTATAGTACGAAAAAATAGGCCAGCATACTCGGGCGATATATCTTGCCAGGCTATCCATGGCCATATATCACCAGGTGCTTGTTGATTAGGTAATTGTACATAGATAAACCCAACAGGAACCGGGTTAGTTTCCATAGTCATCAATCGTTCAATCATATCAGCCATTGACCATGTTTGTATTTTCTGGCACATTACCATGCTCTTTTTTTCGCATTTAACATCCGACCATTGACCGTAGACTGTCGGCTCTACGGTCATACCTATACAATGATCGGGTAGATTTTTTGGACTACCTAGTTGCCAATTTGTATAACCAACCCGACTATTATCGCTTATCCATTGATATTTTTTAGTATCTGGCTCAAATTTACCACCCAACCATATATCATCCGATAGATTAGTATATAATTTTAGTATGCTAACTATTGCTAATTGATCGATGGGAAATTTTATTTCAACCAATGATCCCGATGATTGACTATTATCATGGCTATTACTATTGATAGATTGTTCCTGGCAAAATGTTTCAGCTGAATCATATGATAGTAATGGTATCTGGGTAAATAGTTTTACGCATCTATATTGTCCATATAGTGTCCAATCATCGCCACATGGTTTACCATCAATACATTCATTAACTATACATACATATACAGTATGTATATAAATAATATGTATATAAATAATATGTATATAAATAATATGTATATAAATAATATGTATATAAATAATATGTATATAAATAATATGCATATAAATAATATGTATATAAAGAATATTTATGTAACTAATATATATATATAAAAATAATATCTATAATATATTAAACAATTTATTTGTTATATAAACGATATATTATTTAATATACATATTATTTATATACATATTTATTTTTTTTTAATAAAATTATATTATTTATTAAATAATTATTATTGTTATAATTTTTATTTTAATAATAATTAATATATTGAAGATGAAAAAAAAATTATAACAATAATTTCAAACTTACCAGTAAAGTACAGTAATATTGTGCTAATAAATAGCATATAATTCATAATTAAATGTTAGTTATAAAAATTTATTATTATTATTATTATTATTATAAATATAATTAAATGTCTAATATTAATAATAATTGTTTAGTGTTTAAATAGTTTTTTTTCCTATAAATTTTGATTATTGTTATTAATCTATTTATTTTTTAAATATATATATATATATATATAATTTAGTAAACACTTAAATACAAAATGTCAAATTGATTATAATAGTCAATCGCATAACAAAAATAAAATTGTTTATTAGCTAAAAATTTTTTTGTTGTTATATACAGTATATACTGTATATATACTGTATATAAATATTCAATAGATTATATTGATTAGTTAGTATTGAAAAAATATGTAAGTAGTATTAGCAACAATAATTATTTTTATATATTTTTTAAATATATATTTTAGCAATTGTTTAAGTTTATATAATAAATTATTTAATATTAATTGTTTAATTCTAATACAAAAAATAATTTTAGTATTATTGATAATAATTTTATTTAGTTTTTTAATGAAATAATTTTTAGTTATAAGTTATTTTTTTAGTTAAATATTTGTAGATAAAAAATCATTTATATTTATTACAACAAACTATTCAACAATATTTTTAATATATTAATTAAATAATTATTTATTTTCTTAAATTTAATTTTTAAAAACCTAAAAATATTTGATAGTAAAATTAAATTTTTAAGTTGTTACTAGAAAATTAAATAAATATTACTATAAAACTATTACTTAATATTATTTAGTAATAATAAACAATAAAATAATAATAATTACAATAATATACTATTTTTAATATATAAAATTGTTTATATAATTGTAATTAAAATAATATATATATATATATAATTGCTTAATAATAATTGCTAAAAATATTTGAAATATAATTAACTTATTTATTTTATTTATTATATAAATAGTATAACTATTAATATAAAAAAAACTAGAATAATTAGTATTGCTTTATATTAAATAAAAATTTATAAAACTATAATATAAAAATAATAATAGCATTAATGATAATAAAATAAATATATTGTTATTTTCTAATATATATATTTCAATTAAACAAAACTATAATTATAATACATTAACATTAATATAATTAGTTAATGTATTATAATTATTATATTATTGTTTTATTATAATTATGTATTTTTATTAGTAATAACATTAATATATTTATATATGTTGTTACAGTAATAATATTTTTTTTGTTAGTTAATAATAAATAAATAAATAAATTTATTTTTAAAAATAAAAACTACACTAATATTTTCACTAACTATGCCAACCAATTAAATCAACTAATATTTTACGTATTAAACAACTAATCTATTATCTGGGCTACCGGTGCTATCAAATAGGTTTTCCAAACTATTATCAATTCAATCAACTGGACCGACCCAATCTAATAGTTATAATTATCAATAATTTATTAACTATCGTATTATCAATGCACTTAATAGCATCCATCAAAATTGTCCATGATAATAAATCTAGGTATCAACTAATTGGCGATTGGATGTACGGAATTGAGCATGCTAATTATTTGAAAATTATGGTATTGGTATTTATACTGGTACCTATTGTTATCAAATTAGATCAATATTATCAACAACACATTTATCTAGCTAAACTCAACAATTTAATGATTGAATTTATTAATTTTAATAATTATAATATCAATTGTTTATATCTAGTAAAACATATTAAATATTTAATTAATTTTGATAAATATTTAATTAGTTATATTTATTTCAATTTATTTTTGATGATATTTTTAGTTAGTTATAATGTTTATACAGATTCAATAACTATTAGATTAATAATTAGTTTATTAAATGCATGGATATATGTATTTATTGATCGATCACTATTATATCATATTTTACATTTTATAGCCCTATGTAGACTAATTAAATTAAAAATTACCATGATAAATCAATGTTTAGCTAGATTATTAGCAAATAGTAAGCTAAATATAATAGATATAAATAGATTAAAACTAATTGAATTAAAAATTAATAAATTACATAATGCTATCAATGTATTAAACAATTTATGGTCGACTAGTATACTATACTATTGGCTAATGTTTACAATAATGATTGCCTATATATTTATAATCATATTGTTTATGTTGTTTTTGATATTTATAAAAACTCTGGCCATATGTTTTGGTTTAATATGTTTTTTATTGATGACAATCATTATACTAATTGCCAGTACTATCAATACTGGATGCAAATTAACAAATAAATTATTATTTGGTTTATTTATTAAATTAAATACTACTAACTATAGTAATAGTAATAATAATATTGTTTATAATAATATGTTAATTAAAAAATTTAAAGTAAGTATTAGAAAATGTTAATATAAAAAATTTTTATAAATTATTTTAAATTATAATACTGTACATTATTTTATATTCAATTTTTAATTTATTATTTTTTTTATTGTTTTATTCAATAGTTACAACATTTAATTGAATTGTTTGCTAAAAACAAAATTGGTATCAATTGTTGGAAACTGTTTCTAATCAATCAATTTACTTATAATTTAGTAAATAATTTTTTTTGTATCATTAATTAAAATTTTTATAAAATCATTTAATTTTTATTTATTTATTTTAGTTTATTTACATCACAACAAAAGTTACACTAAAATTGTTGACATTTTTAATTAATAATTAAATTTATCAATAAATAAATTATTAACAATCAATTTTAGTTTTTTGTTTATAATTTTTCAAAAATATTTAATTTTTATTGATTATTAGATTTATATTTAGTTTACAAAAAATTAAAGTAATTTTTAAAAATTACTATTAAATATATTTGTGTAATATTTTATATTAAATTTTATTTTATTAAAGTTATTACTGGTTTACCTATAAATTTTGTAAAGAATTATTTTTAATTAAAATATTTTACATAAATATTTAGTTATTTTTAATTATTTATTTTATAACTATTTTTTCTAAAATTTATTTATTATAATTTATTACTCAATAGTAATTAGTATTAAACAAAAATACTATTTTAATATAATAATAATACTAATAATACAATAGTTTAATGATTTTTATTTTTATTGTTCAGTAGAAACAAATTAAAAACTAATTTTTAGTAATTAAAATAACTATTATTTGTTATTATAAATATTTTTTAAAAAAATTAAATATACACAATAAATATTATCATATAAATTATTGTTCAAGGTAAACAACATTTATTTTCTAATTAATTAATTTTATTAAAATAAAAGTTTATAAAATATAAAAATTTAATAAATATATTATTTGTTATAATATTTTATTATTATAATATTAAATATTTAATTATATTAATTTATAATTTTTTTTCATTTGACAAAGTTTAATTTATCTAAATATTAATATTTATATATATATACTATTATTTAATTATTACTAATTAATTATTATTAATATATAAAAAATTATCAAATGTTTATATTAATTTTATTTATTTACTAAAAATAATATATATATATAACTGTACCTTAAAATAAATGTATATTATTTTATATAATATATATATTATATAATAATATAGTTAATTGTCATTCAAAATCAGTTTGCTATCCGACGCGGCCATAACTGTCTCCCGGAGCCAATCTAGATGATAGCTGACACTTGTATAGACACCGGGCATACGGGGCAGACCGCAACCAATACCGGCCATTACTATACCGCTTAGGACCATATGTTTATGGTAGACAGTCATCAGCGGACCGCCCGAATCGTGTTGACAGGCATCGCGATTGCCCATCGGATGGCCGCCGGCGCACATCATTGACGGCCTGATAGCGATTTCATCGGTAAACGCTTCAATTTCCGACCGACAATCGGTATTATTCCACACCTGTATGTCCACTTCGAGTAGGACATCGCTTTGTTTGGCCGTTTTGTCGACCGGATCCTTAGTCAGACCCCAACCCAACACGCGAGCTAACTGTCCCTCTAGTTTCTGGTGTGACAGTTGTCTGGCAGCCGGCAAACATATGGGTAACAAATTTCTGGTAAACTTACCGATCGGCTCCTGAAGCTTAACCAATGCTATATCGTTTTGTTTGCTAAGGCTATCATAATCGGGATGCAGGATCACTTGGCCGACCCGATGATCACTACAACCACTTTCCCGATAGTTTGCCTCGGATTTGAATGTATGTGCACCCAGTTTGACGGATAGGTTGGCCAGTTTGTAGCCATAATCAAAACAATGGGCAGCCGTTACTATAAACTGATCGGACACTAGCGAACCGCCACACCAGGGCAGGTAACCGTGCTGCACCCGGTCCATGATGGCGGCCATCCACGGGTTTTTGCCCGGTTCGGTTGATTTGCCGCCCAATATCCGCAATTTTAGTACTCGGCCGCACTCGGCGTACAATTGATGGGACCTAAACTCGTCCATATCGTCACCGATCTGGTCATCATCGGTAGTCTCTGGCCGACTATTGGACTGGACACTGGCCACCAGTAATACTACAGTAATAAATTGCACTGTTGGTGTTGTTGTTATTATATTTTTTGTTAGATAATAATAATAATAATAATAATAATAATAATAATAATAATAATAATAATAATAATAATAATAATAATAATAATAATAATAATAATAATAATAATAATAATAATAATAATAATAATAATAATAATAATAATAATAATAATAATAATAATAATAATAATAATAATAATAATAATAATAATAATAATAATAATAATAATAATAATAATAATAATAATAATAATAATAATAATAATAATAGAAATTTAATTATACTTATCGTATATTTTATAGCAATCATTATAATAATAAAACAAATTTGTTTTATTTATTTATTATTATTTATTTAATAAATACTTTATATACAGTATATGTACTTTTAATTAATTAATTATATTTTTTGTCTAATTTTTTTAATATTTAATTTTTTTAAAAATATATTATAATAATTATGATATTATCATATCATAAAATTGTTACAACAGTTTGTGAATAAAATAAATATTAATAAAACTATTTTATAAATTTATTATTATTATTATTGACTTGTTCAAGGTAAACTACAGTAATTATACCGATTATATGTATATATATTTATAATATTTAATTTATTATAGTTGACATAATTTATGATACATTAAAATTTATTTAGATTTTTTTTTATTTTAAATAAAATAATAATAATTTTACAAAAATAAATAATTTAAAAAAAAATATAATTTTAAACAAAATGTAAAATACTATAAGTTTTATATTATATCATATTATATTATTTTAAAAAAATAATATTTAATTAATTATTAATATATATAAATAGTTTACTAATTAACATATATCATAGTATTTATATAATTTTAATATATATAATAAAATTAATTAAAAATCTAAATGTTTTTAAAATCAAATTATTTTCATTAAATCTAAAAAAAAAATTTATTAATAATCTCAATTCAAATCAATAACCTGTTCAGTGGTAGTACTGGTGCTTGACTTAACCAATTTGCTATCCGAAGCGGCCATAACTGTCTCCCGGAGCCAATCTAGATGATAGCTAACACGTGTATAGATACCGGGCATACGGGGCAGACCGCAACCAACACCGGCCATAACTATACCGCTCAGGACTACGTGATCGTTGTAGACAGTCATCAGCGGACCGCCCGAATCGTGTTGACAGGCATCGCGATTACCCATCGGGTGGCCACCGGCGCACATCATTGACGGCCTGATAGCAATTTCATCGGTAAACGCTTCAATTTCCGACCGACAATCGGTATTATTCCACACCTGTATGTCCACTTCGAGTAGGACATCGCTTTGTTTGGCCGTTTTGTCGACCGGATCCTTAGTCAGACCCCAACCCAACACGCGAGCTAACTGTCCCTCTAGTTTCTGGTGTGACAGTTGTCTGGCAGCCGGCAAACATATGGGTAACAAATTTCTGGTAAACTTACCGATCGGCTCCTGAAGCTTAACCAATGCTATATCGTTTTGTTTGCTTAGGCTATCGTACGCTGGATGTCTGATCACTTGGACGACCCGATGCTCACTACCACTACTTTCCCGATAGTTTGCCCGGGATTTGAATGTATGTGCACCCAGTTTGACGGACAGGTTGGCCAGTTGGTAGCCATAATCAAAACAATGGGCAGCCGTCACTATAAACTGATCGGACACTAGTGAACCGCCACACCAGGGCAGGTAGCCGTGCCCGCTGTCCATGATGGCGGCCATCCATATGTATTTGCCGGGATCGGTTTTTTTGCCGCCCAATATCCACGACCGGGGCAATGAACCGCAACCGCTATATATTTGGTCAGATCTGAAATCTAGCATATCTTTGGCAAACTGTTTGTCCGCATCTACCGAAACACCAATCTGGCCACTGATGACCACTACTACTACTAGTAGTAGTAATACTAAATTATTGTCATATTTTTTGTTAACTGCTAATAAAAACATGATAATTATTTTTATATATATATATAAAGTATAAATATATATGATATATAAAAATTAGTTAAACTGTTATACACTTATATACGGTATATATTATAATATAAATTTTAACTTTTTTTTTAGTATTTTAAAGTTTTAACTAATAAAATGTTTTTCATGTTTTTTATTTTAAAAATAAAGATATTATATGTAATCATTTAAATTATATTATTTTCTATATTATTTTGTTAATTTATTCAAAATCATAATTGACTATTATGCTAATTTATTTTTATTATAATTGTCTATATTTATAATTTTAATAATAATAATAATAATAATTAAATATATATATGTATATATAAAGTTATATTATTTGAATACTATCAATTAAATTATTATTTATTTATTCAAGGTAAACAACAAAAACAGTAATTTTCTATTAAATATTTTAAAATTTATATATATTATAATATATTCATAGTATAAAATTTAGTATAAACAAATTTATCAACAACAAAAAAATAAACAAAAATTTATGTTTTTATTATTTAATTTAATAATTTTTTCCCCTTTAATTTATTTAATCAAACTTGAAATAATTATTAAAACATAAATTAAATGTATTGTGTGACTAATACTGTATTATATCTAATACATAATAATTATTGTTTATTTACAATTAATATTTATATATTAAATTATTTGATTATTATTTTTTTTTAATAAAATTTTTGTTTTCGAGAAAAATTTAATCTTATATATAATATTTCAACAAAAAAACATATATTATTTAAATATTTAATTGCATTTTTATAAAACAATGTGATTTATATTTTATTTAAAATAATTGTACTAATAAATTATTTAAAATTGTTAATAGTTATACTAAAAATATATATATGTATTAAATAATTAAAAATATAATAAATAATTAAATACTTAATTGTATTAATTGCTTAGATTGTATTAATATTTAAATTAATTTTATTTAATATTTTATACAAAAAAAATAATTTTTAAGTAATATATCACAACATAAATGTTTTATTACCTAGTTGTTTTTTAATTGTCAAAATAGTAGCAAGCTAAAATAACAATGATAATAAACGATTGTATTTTTTAAAAAAATAAGTAAAACACATGTTATTTACGTATATTACTTGTAAAGCAAAAAATATTTAATTAATTAATTATTTATTTTTTTCAAACTAATATCCTGTTATTTAAGTCTATTATTAGTAATTAAATATATAATTAATGTATTAAATTGTACTTGATAATTTTATCTAACATGTTTTAAATTAATTAATTTATCTAGCTAAAATGTATAGCGGATACAATACTAATAAAAAAAGTATATAAACTGGTAAAATGTTATCTAGTTAAAATCATTCAAACTATTTTGAAACAGTTATAATAATAATAATTATTATTTTTAAATATAATTACAAAAATTTTTAAAAATGTGCAAGCTAAACATTGCTATAATTGCTGTATGCCTATTAGGTATATTACTTAATAATTTAGTAATTATTTTGATTTTTTTATATAAAAATTTACTAATGTTTTATATAATTGTTATTAATTTTATTATTATTTTTACAAATAATATATAAATTTATCTAGGTGCTGGTCTAATTGTTCAAGCTAGACACTATGGCTCATTTGATAACTATAATCAATATGATTATAATAATCATAAAAATTGTGATGGTAAAATAATTTTTTACAAAAAAAATAAAAATAAAAAATTTATTATCATATAAATTTTTACTATAATAATATTATTTATTTTATTTATATTCAATAGATAACCAACATTATCATAAACATAATTACCAACAACAACATAAAAAACACCAAGGTAATAATAAACAACAACAACAGTGCAATGGATTAAATGCTCAAAAATTATTTAAAGGTATTTATATATTTTTTATAAATTAAAATAAACCTAGATGATTTTAATTTAATTTCCTCCCCCCACCCAAACTATAGATTATCTACAAAATAAAACTGAAACTACTGGTGAAATTGGTATTATATTTATTGATTACATTTAAAATATTTTTTTTTTAAAATTAGAAATATATTAATAATTAAAAAAAAAATTACAAATATATTAATAATTAAAAATATTAGAAATATATTAATAATTAAAAAAAATTATTAAAATATTAATAATTAAAAAATTATTAGAATATTAATAATTAAAAAATTATTAGAATATTAATAATTAAAAAAAATTATTAAAATATTAATAATTAAAAAATTATTAGGATATTAATCATTAAAAAATTATTAGTATATTAATAATTAAATAATTATTAGGATATTAATCATTAAAAAAATTATTAGAATATTAATAATTAAAAAAAAATTACAAATATATTAATAATTAAAAATATTAGAAATATATTAATAATTAAAAAAAATTATTAAWATATTAATAATTAWAAAATTATTAATATATTATAACTAAAAATTATAATAATAATAATTAAATAATAATTACTTCAAACTGTATATAACAATAGCATTTACACCGTTTATATCGACCAATTGGACATTTTTCAATGACCTGGTCTGCACTGGCGGTCCATTCATCCGATCCGTGGACGAAGGAAATCTACCGATGCGTGTGTCGTGCAATGGTATTGTTATGGTATCGACTAATGAATCGGGATTTTCGGTACAATACCCGAACCAACAGTGGGGCGAAGTTCCTCTAATCGACTATCACTCTATTACTACATATATGAATGGTATGCATGACCCCGGTATTTATGACTATACTTAATAATATACATATACCTACCTATCTATCATATAAGGTGATCGATATTATCGTGAAACCGGTACCGTACCCACTGGTCCATGTGCTGGCGATAAGTTTTGGGGTCAAGCACTCTATACACCACTCAATCCGGGTGCCTGTCAGTCACCCGATGGTATGGCCAACAGTACGGCCGTCTATCGTATACGTACGCTGACCGGTAAGTGTCAGTCGACATGTTATATCAATAGATTGGCCGGCAATGAGGGCCGATCGTGGTATGCCATCAATCCCAGTGTCAACGATGCCGGTGCTACTAAATAATAATAATAATAATAATAATAATAATAATAATAATAATAATAATAATAATAATAATAATAATAATATAATACTGTATTATTATTATTATTATGAATAAGATATTATGAATATCAATGTATTAATTATTGTAAAATCAATTTGCAATTAAATGAAATTAAATTAATTATAATAAAAAACTTTTTATTAAAAACAAAATTTTATTGAAAAAAAAGTTTTATTAACTATTTAATCATTGGTATAATCTTAATAATATTTTAATCATATAATAATAATATTTTTTTAATCATATAATAATAATACTGTAATAATATATAGTTTTTTTTGTTGTTGTTGTTAACAATTATTGATAATATATAAATGTTTTATTTATTTTATTTTAAAATAAATTTGATAAAAAAATACTTTTTAATATAATTTATTTAATTATAAAAAAATATACAATAAATTTTTTATTTATATTTTCAATAATTATCAATTAAATTAACTATTATTATTGTTATATATAGTTTTTTTAGGTAAAAGTTTGTAGTCATCATATAATTAACGCACGTTTTAAAACGATAAAACAAAAATTTCATGAAATTTTAAACATTTTTTAAACATTCAACTAAACAATTAAAAACATATTATTATTATATAATTATAATAATATTCAATTAATTTATTATATTATGTATTTTTTAAAAAAATGTTTTAATAAACTAAAAAATTATTTATTAAAATATTCAGTTAAGTGTTGAAAATTACAATAATAACAATAACTATTTTTGTAATCGTTTACAAATCTCATGAAATAAAAAATACTTTTTAAACATTCAACTAAACAATTAAAAACATAATAATTTTAATAATATTCAATTAACTCATTATATTATATTTGAAAAAAGTTTAATAAACTAAAAATATTTGTTAAGATATTCATTTAAATGTTGAAAATTACAATATGTATTACAATAATAATAACAACTATTTTTGTAATCGTTTACAATGTTTGCGGTCATCATTGTTATCATTATCGGTGGTCATCATATGGTTGTTGATAATAATTGTGTTGTTGTTATCGATGACAGTCATCATAATCACTGGCGACGACGATAATGTGTGTCAATTGTTGGCACCAAACGGCCGATTCAATAGCTATTATGTCTACAGACAGTGGCATTTGAGGGGCAAAGTAATGGATAAGCCATATGATCCCTCATTTTATACATCAATAAAACTAATATCAACTATAAATGATAGTCAATTAGTTGAAGGGACACTCAATTATAGGACTTACATCGATAACAACCAACAACAATATATTAGTAGATTAACTATAATCGATAGTATAGTAAATAATATTGAAAATGAAAATAATTTAAATAAAACAAACATTTCGGGTATTATTAAACACTCGACAGTCAATACATTTGTCTATAATTGTTATATACAACCGATGATTGATGTAAGTAACCGATTGATTGATTGATTGATTTGAAATTTTTTTTTATATAATATTAGATTTAAAAAAAAGAAAAAAATTTTAACATTATTTTTTTTTTTGATCAGAAAAATTCAATAAAAAATTATTGTGAATCAAAAATACTACCCAAAAAAACTATCGACAGTACTATAACATTGGATAATAAGTTTCCCGATAATAAATATATTATATTTAAGCCGTGGATCACTAATAACACTAATATTTGGTTAGAGTATTGGGTATATAGTCTGACCAATAGATATGCCCAACCAATCAAATGTGAATTGAAACTGAAATTTCCGTCATTTAATCTGAGATATGCCTGCAATGAAAACCAGTCGCCACCAAAACGACCCGATTTCCTAATCGATCAGTTAGACTATGAATTGTTGGTACAGTTGGTTTCGGTAATGGACAG